ACCCAATTTCATGACTTTTTTTTTTTGCCATGATTGTTAAGCAAATCGTTGCAGTTAAGTGAATCACAAGGTCATTAAGTGAATCCAGTTTACTCCACTGACTTTTCTTGTTGGAAGACAGCCTGGAAAGTTGCAAATGGAGATCACATGATCCTTGAATGCTGCGTCATAACTGCATGCCGATTTCAAGTGCCCTAATTTTGACATGAGACCGTGGTTGTAACGATGAGTATCCGTTAGTCACTTTTTTCAGCCCCGTTGTAATTTTGAACAGTGAGTAAACGAATGGTTCTAAGTCAGGGACTACCTGTTCTCACTGGAGCAGCTTTCCAGGGTTTCAACCAGTTTGAATCAGAGACATTTTCATGCGAAACATTATCCTGTCATTTATTGGTAAATTCTTCATGTGTAATCCAGTAGCAATGATATTGTGCCATATCAGTCCATCTTACTTACACGGATTGGCATTTGCTCTATTGACTGGTGCGACTCTTTTTCCCAACCCTGCTAGACTTGTTAGGACATGAATACAGGCAATCCTCGACTTACGACCACAACTGAGTCTAAAATTTCTGTTGCTCAGCGAGACAGTTGTTAAGTGAGCTTTGCCCCATTTTACGACCTTTCTTGCCACAGTCGTTAAGTGAATCGCTGTAGTTATTAAGTTAGTAACACAGTTGTTAAGTGAATCTGACTTCCCCATTGATTTTGCTTGTCAGAAGGTCGTAAAAGGGGATCACATGACCCTGGGATAAAGATAAGTCAATTGCCAAGTGTCTGAATTTGGATCATATGGCCATGGGGATGCTGCAGTGATCATAAAGTGTGAAAAATGATCATAAGTCACTTTTTTTAGTGCCGTTTTATTTTCAGTCACTAAACAAATGGTTATATGTCGAGGACTACCTGTATAGGGTTTTCTGCTTTTAACCAGCCCCTCCATCATCAAGCTGCTGCCTGTCATGAATTTAGAACTTCTGAACAGTGTGGTGTTTGGAAAACAGAGGTGGTGAGGGAGGTCCCCAACCACTCTCCAAAGAGTAGGCCGGAGGTCTTCAAACTTGGCCCTTTTATGACTTGTGGACTTCAACTCCCAGAATTCCTCAGCCAGGCACACTGGCTGAGGAATTCTGGGAGTTGAAGTCCACAAGTCATAAAAGGGCCAAGTTTGAAGACCCCTGGCCTAGGACAATTTGCCACGGCCAACTCACCACGGGACAACTCACACCAGGACAATTCAACATTCATTAATCGTTTCATTCAGTTGCTTTTATTATTAGTGACCACATTTTCATCTACGTAAATTATTGCAACTCTTATGTTTCTGAATTGACTTTCTTTAACTTTATTATTATTGGCCAAGGTTCCATTGGTCATAATTTAACTTTCATATTTGTTGAATTGTCCTGTGACGAGTTGTCCCGCAGCAAGTGTCCCGCAGCAAGTTGGCCGTGGCGAGTTGTCCAGTTCCGCCTCCAAACATGTGTGAGTGTGAGTGTGTGTGTTTGTGTGTGTGTGTGTGTTCTCACCCAGGCCACCCCAAAGAGGACCTGTCTCAAAAAGAAGGTGTTGGGATCAGCATAAATTCAGAACAACACTGGGGTTTAGTTGCGTCCCCTTGTCTCCAAGGGGATCATAAGAAAGGACAACTGACTGATCAACTTGTTGAGATGTATACACACACACACACACATATGTATATTTGAAATGATTGTCTCTTTTTCTCTCTTCTGAATAAAGACACTTGTGATTGGATGCTAAAAGGGAACACACTAGTCTGAAAAAGAAAAGATGCTAAAGTTCATTTGTTGGGTTTGTTGGAAAGATAAGAGGGCGGGAAAGTCAAGGATCGCTTTTGACCGAGACATAGATCTCCTGCTTGATGTTGGGCCTGCTGAAATCCATCCTAGCCAAGTGCCCCCTACCCTCATGAGCTGTTATTCCCACTTAACTTGCAGAGATGCTTCTTCCAACACCCCAGTTGATTTTAACAATGCACTAATATACAAAGGAAAGAAAATGGTGGAAAAGGAGGAACCGAATAAAACAAGAGAGAATTGACAAAGAAACGTCCACAGTCACATGAAATTAATTGATCCATGCACATACCTCCAGTTGAAATTAAATCTTGTTAGACAAACAACACGGCAAACCCAAATTCGCCCGCCCTACCCTCCCCCTCTCAATAATTATTACATTACTTCAAGAAAGAGTATATTTTTTCATGCATAAATCAAATTTTCATTTCTTTTTTTTGGTCTTTTTTTTCCTTCTTAAATTACATTTGAACACATAAACACATATAATAAATACTCTTGTAAGACATGACTCAGCAGAAAAAAGGAACACATCCCCAAAGCATAGGATATTACTACTATTTGTGATTTTTTTTTCTTTTAAAGGACTTGTTTAAATATGAAATCTGTAAACTCCAAGGAACCTTCTTTTGTCTCTCTCTCGCTCGCTCTCTCTCTCTCTCTCTCAATCTTTCTCTTTTTTAAACAAAAAACAAAAAAAAATCATGAAACTAATCAGTTTTTCCTTTCCTTTCCAAACATTCAATATGTCTTCCATTGAGCATGTCAACATAGTAACACTTGCCATCTCTGCAAAAATTATAATTTAACAGTATAAAGCTTCAAGTTGCAAATTCCAAAAACTAGCTAAGTAATTATTATTATCATTATCATTATTATTTTGTCACATAAACTATACATTAAATATTTTTTTTGAGGTATTTCAGAGAACATTGTCAAAGGCTTGCCAGGTTTGTGCTGGAGAGAAAGGCAGGGCCACCGGTTTGTTTGTTTGTTTATTTATTTATTTTTCTCCTGACAGGAGACATCTTTGGTATCAACAAGCCATTTGGGTGTTGGGTCAAAAGAAAAAAGCGGGATTTCGCCAGGTGAAGGGGTAATTCCATGGAGAAATAGGTTGGTCATTTGCGGCGGGAGGGGGGGTGAGGACGTTTGCACGAGTACCGTTAAGAGGCAATACAGAATATGAGAGAGGCAGTTTGGTATAGTGGTTAAAGTGCTAGGCTAAAAGCTGGGAGTCCATGAGTTCTATTCCTCTTCCCTTATGCAAGAAGGCCAGCCAGATGACTTTGAGCCAGTCCAACTCATCTCTGAGAGTGATTGTTGTGGGGCAGCAATAGAAGACAAGACCATTAGATATGTACCAATGGAATATTTGGAGATCAAACTTGAACTATGGGGGTCCTTGGTGTTCCCTGAATTTGGTTGTTTTCTTGCAGACGTTTCATTACCCAACTAGGTAATGTCATCAGGGTGTGGTTAGAACCAATCCCACTTTCTTCTAGCACTGAGATGTTACCTAGTTAGGTAATGAAAAGCCTGCAAGAAAACAACCAAGCTCAGAGAGCACCAAGTACTCCCACATTAGGTCTGTTGCTACCTTGCATGGCACAGAATAAAGGTGGGATATAAATTTTAAACCCACCCCCCAAAAAAACCCCTCAGAATTCAAGTAGCTGTTGACCAATCAAAATATCACTATCCCTTCTTCCTTTTTCTGCAATAAATGGACTGAGTTCTCAGGGGAGAAAGCAAAATTAATTGGCCCTCACCTCATTTTATGACTAGCATTTTTCAGATTGCAGGTGTGGGAGTCAAGAGCTTTCCCTGCACATGAAAGTATAGCAGGGGAGGAGGGGAAGCTGGCCAGGAAGCTTGTTGCTTGATCAGTTAGCTTTCCCACAGGGAGGGTCATTTGTTGGTCAAAGCGGGTCCCATCCAATCCACTTCATGACCTGTGCCTAGGATATAGTTTGTCCATCATGAGCTTTTGGGGGAGGTATCAGATGACTCTCAGGACATAGTTATTGGGGCAGCTTATCAATATTCTTACATTGGATCAATAGAAAAGAGTATTTGTAGGGTTGAACTGAGGGATACAGACAGTCCTTGACTTACAACTACAATTGAGCCTAAAATTTCCAATGCTAAGCAAGACAGTTATTAAGTGAGTTGTGCTCCACTTTACAACTTTTTTTGCCACAGTTGGTTAAGTGAATCACTGCAGTTGTTAAGTTAGTAACACGGTTGTTAAGTGAATATGGCTTTCCCCATTGACTTTGCTTGCCAGAAGATGGCAAAAGGTGATCATATGACCCCAGGGCACTGCAACCGTATTAACTACAGGCCACTTGCCATGGGACCACCTGTGGCCAGCTTAGTCTGATATGATGCTATATTTGATAATACCCATTGAATTGCCTGAGGATCATAGATATGTTTTAAAGTAGTTTTTCTCCAGCTCTCCTTCACGTTAGCCTTAATTTTATCTTGTTTTCCCCCTTGCTCTAAGGCAGGGGTCTCCAACCATGGCAACTTTAAGACTTGTGGACTTCAACTCCCAGAATTCTGGGAGTTGAAGTCCACAAGTCTTAAAGTTGCCAAGGTTGGAGATACCTGCTCTAAGAAGACCCCTGCTCTAAGGAGATCCTGATGGCGAGATGACCTGTGTAGGGCCATTATAGGACTATGCACCCCTTAGAATGTGCTGCTGGGATTCCCAACATGTACTCGTACTGGGCCGAAAAACTGCCCTGCTCATTTTCAATCCTGGATCAGCCCCTCTAACCCATATGTTGACTAGGGTCACAGAGATTTGGGCAGAAGACACTTTTCCCCAAGACTTTTGTATTCAGGAAGGGCTGGACGTAGCCTCCTTCGTATGCCAAGCATAACCACAATGATGGGCTATGCACCTCACTCTACCATCCTACATGGGTGGGTGGGTGGCAGTGAATCAGCAGATGCCCATCCGAGGTGCGGAGTTCTGGAGACAAAATGGAGAATAACAGAATTGGCAGGGACCCTGCCCAAGCGATAAACCCTATTCCATTCTGGACAAAATGGCTGTCCGATCTTTTCTTTAAAAAGTCCAGTGTTGGAGTATCAAGCAAACCTTTCTGAGGGAAATGTCACAAGGAAAAAGAACACACCTCACTATTTCTTGTGCACCTAGTGAATTAGATGTGCATTGGAGTGCACATGAAACACTGGGGAGTGTGTGTGTGTGTGTGTGTGTGTGCGTGTGGATTGTGTTAAGAGGGCAGAAGGAGAGGACCCAGAGGACCAAAGGAGAAATGGCTTTTGTCCCATCACCCAAAAGCTACAAGAGTTGCCAGAATCCCTCTGATTAAGAGAACTGAGGTAATATCTCATGAACTTATAGGACAAAGAAAACGAAAAAAAGAAAATCAGAAAAATGGTTTTACACCTTTTGTACAAGAAAAAGGCACTCAGCTATCACTCCAAGTTTCATTCATGCATCTAGCGCTCTTTTCTTTCTTTCTTTCTTTCTTTCTTTCTTTCTTTCTTTCTTTTTCTTTCTTTCTTTCTTTCTTTCTTTTTCTTTCTTTCTTTCTTTCTTTCTCTTTCTTTCTTTCTCTTTCTCTCTCTTTCTTTCTTTCTTTCTCTTTCTTTCTCTCTTTCTCTCGGGAAGTTGGAAAGCACAGGAGACAGTTGAATGGGGAAAGATCTGTGACTATGAACTATAAATGGAGGATCACAAGGGAACAAGAAAGGGGAGGCGCAAATGTGTATAATCCAGCACAAACCAGGCAAGGAGAACAAAATCTTTGGTATCAGATGTGATTTTCAAATCACAAAAATCGAAAACTCAAGTGAGGTAGCCTATATTTTCTGGTTCTCACTAAAAATGTCTTTGCATGTTCGGGGTCGTTCGTTTGATAGAACTATTCCTTTTCTTTGCTTTTTTTCCCCCTGCCCCTCCCTTCAGTTCTTCTACTCAGTTCAGGCCCCATCATTTCATTTCATTATTTCATTTCATTTCATTTTTTCTTCTTTTTTTCTTTTTTTTCCTTTAGCGAGGCTTCTCAGCCCTTCAATACTTCACAAAATCAGGTATGGGAAATCCACCAGAGTCCTTCTCCATCATTCTTTTAGCATCGACAACTCACAACAAGACAAGATGATGCGGTAGGGTGGGATAGGTTTGAAGGGGATGGACACTTGGGGCGGTCTGAGAGAGGTGACTTGGGGGGGGGCTTTTGTCCTCCTGTGGCATCCCCCACCCTCTCTCTGCATGTGTGTTTTGATAAAACATATCTCAGCATCTGCTATTTTCCCTTTTCCAGTTTTCTTTGGTTGGTCCAAATAAGTTCCCACTCATCCCACACCCTGATTGGTTGCACCCAACAGTCATGACCGGGACAAAATGTTTTGCTGAAGATAGGAAATATTAGCAGTCATTTAATTCTTTTGTTTCCCCTTCCTTCTTCCTTTTCTGCTCAAAGAATAAACTTTTGATGGTTCTGGGTTTTTTTTTTTTTAACTCTCTCTCTTTCTTTCTTTTTGTTCCATTCCCAAAGGTGCCTAACAGTTGCTCAACGCATTGTCTTCAACATAAAGTGAACGCATAAGCCATTGCGCAAGGATGGTGCTCTATTACCCGCATCAATTTGATAGTGTCCCGTTAAAAAAAAGAATAAAACAAAGAAACGACACACACAGAAACACATGTACAAAGAATCCCACGTTTAGCATGGAGAGGGCAAGGCTGCGATTCTGCGGCCTCTCTGCCTCCTCAAACGCCTTTTCTCTGGCTCCATAGGCAAAGGAGGGGGGGCTTCAACTTTGCCAGCCAGACATACAGGTTTAACTGGTGATGCTATTTCTCATCAAGTTGGCCATGTCTTTCTTTTTCTTTCTTTCTCTCTCTCTCTCTCTTCTTTTTTTTGCCTTGCAAACGCTCCTGATTCATGGCGCCAGACTCTGCTGAAGTCAAGTCCTCCTTTTCAAGCGAAAGAGGACTGTCATCTGGTATCCATCTTCTATTTTTAAGGCAAGCTGTTAATTGGCACACACACAAAAAATAGTCACTTATCTTTCGTACGTTGCCAGAATTCCTTTTTTTTAAGGGTTTTTTTTTTTTTTGTAGTTTGTTATTTTCAACAGGGAGGATATGGAGCTGGGACCGGAAAAGGACTGGGGGAGGAATCTTCCCCTTGCCAATCAAATCTATTGATCCATTTAGCAAACAGATTCATGATCTGTTCCCCCACTCAATTCAACTTGCCCAATCTGATTCCTATCACATATACCATCATGGTTTCTCTCCCCTTCTGCCATCCTGTATGTACTGGAGGCAGAAAATGGGGATAAGAGGCAAAAAAGGGGAGTGAGGATGGAAATAATTCAGCTGAGGCTGGCCTTTGGAATGAAACATTGGATGGAAGGTCAGCTGCTGATCCAGTGTCCAGGAAATAAAAATTCAGCTCCTGCACTGCTTTGCTTTGATTTCTTTAAAGCTTTTTTTTTTTAAATTACCCGATTTATGTACGTAAAATGTGCTTCATGACCCGCTTTTACTCTAGGTGACACAGTGCAACTTCGCTTTAGATTACACACGACTAATTCAAGGGAGAAAAGAGGGGATCATTTTTCGTCAGAGTTTCTGGTTTCTCCCTTGACACTTTGGCTTGGAATTCCTTGGAGAGGAATCGTCAAAAAAGAAAAAAAAAGTCTTCTTTTGAGACTTTTGAATTTGGTTTTGGTAACTTTCAGACCATGCCGTGATGCGCTTGGCAAGATTTCTGGTGGATTTTCATGGGGACCACTTGGACTCTGAAGACTTTTGTGGAGAACAGGATGTGGGGAAACAAGAGGGCTGAGCTGTAGGAAATGTACATGAGGACAACATGATAACATTTTGAAGATGTCTTTTTTTTTTCTGGAATGGATTTTCATGCATTTTCCCCTTGCTACTAGAATGAAGGATATAGGTGGCCCTTCCCTTGGCTTGCAAACTGAGCAACTCCCTAACCTACATTCACACATGTCATCACTGACTCTCATTTCAGGCTAAACAATTGCAGCTTGTCTCCGTATAAAGGCTAAATGATTCCTACATGATTCCCCCACATGTCTTTTCCCATATCAGAGGCAGGCCACTATCAGCTTCACAATAAATGACCTCTCTTTGAAATAGGAAGGAGAGACATAATTGGATATTACAGGCCTGATATGAATCTTAGAAGTATCCCACAATTCACTTCTATCTCAGTGGTGAAAGACAACCCCAGTAGGAACGATGAGTTAGTCTGGAATTTAAAACCCAGGAACTGGACGAAGTTCAGTTACCTGGAAAGGTATCTAGAAATACATCTCAGAGAACTGAATCAGCTTCACAAATTAATAAGATACTTGCTTTTTGCCCTCCCTTCAATTTTCCAGTGCTGGGCTGTTTTTTAAGGCATACACCACACACTTGCTCCTTACATAGCCAGGACATCTGGGATAAGCATTTTGTTCCCACAATGACAGCTTTCAAATCCACTTCCGTGAAAGCTTCTGCTATTAAGCTGGTCCTTACAGATCCCTCCCCCTCTGCCATCAGAACAATTTAATTACTCGCTGGCTGAAACTTCCAGGAAGGAAGATGTTCCTCAGCTAAACCCAAAGCTTGGGAGAAGATTGCTCACCAGATGAAGAGATGAAATGGCCCTCCTCCACAAATGGGAAGGTTTGAGGGAGGTCAAAGGCAGAGGCTGCCAAGGGATGCCTCTGGAAGATCTGGGATATTCCAGAGGCATCCGCTGTGGATTGGTAGTGAAGTGGGCCCCATGCGTTGTCGTTGCTCAATGTACAGGTATATGCAGGTGAGGGGAGCACACATGGAGAAGGGAGCGGGCTCTCTTCTGGGTGGAGTTCAGGGGGATGCAAGGGATGAGAGGCATATGAAAAAAAATAAAAGAGATCATGCTTTGGAAAAAGTGCTTGTGGATGAAGAGGGGACTCCGGGGTTGGTGCCTGGCTCCTCTTGCCAACGGTTCATACACCGCCGGCGAGCATTCATGAAGAAGTTGCTGACGGTGTTGAGCTCCAGGCCCAGCTGCTGCGAAATGGTCATCTGCATCTCCTTGGAAGGCCGCTTGTTCTCTTTGAAGATGGCGATCAGGGTGCGGCGCTGGAGGTCGGTGAAGACCAGGCGTTGCTTTTTCGGTTGCAGATTCCGGTCCTTTTGCTGCTCCTGCTCTTTACGTTTGCAGGCTATGCGGGTGGTTTTAAAGGAAAAGAGGGGGGAAGGGGAGGGGGGAAAAGAGAGAGAGAGAGAACAAATAACATGGCTATCAAATTCATGCACATCAAGCTTGTTTTCCATTTTTCTCCCCCCCCCCTCCACTCCCCCAATCCATACAACATTTGCAATGCCCCGTCTCCAGATAAAGGAATACACCAGATGGCTTTCATTAGCCTTTTTTCGCCATCCGTTCAATTGTGTCCCAGTCTCAGACATGTCCTTGCAGTTTTCTTGGCAAGTGGTTTGCCATTGCCTCCTTCCTAGGGCTGAGAGAGAGTGACTGGCCCAAGGTCACCCAGCCGGCCTCATGCCTAAGGCAGGACTAGAACTTCTGGTCTTCCAGTTTCTAGTCTGATGTCTTAGCCGCTACACCGAGCTGGCTCTCATTCATTAGCATTGCTTCTATTCAAATTTTTATTTTTTAAAAAAAAGACATAACAAATATACAGGCAGCCCTTGATTTACGATCACAATGGAGCCCCCAAATTTGTGTTGTTAAGCAAGACAGTTGCTAAGTTAATTTTGCCCCCATTTTACAACCTGTCTTGCCACAGTTGTTAAGTGAATAGCTGCAAGTGTTAAGTTAATAAACAGGTGTTAAGTGAATCTGGCTTCCCCATTGACTTTGTCAGAAGGTCGCAAAAAGGGATCACATGACCCTGGGACACTGCAACCGTCATAAATATGAGACAATTCAGATAAGTGTCTGAATTTTGATCACGTGACCATGGGGATGTTGCAACGGTCGTAAGTGTGAAAACTCTCATAAGGCACTTTTTTCAGTGCCACTGTAACTTGGAACCGTCACTAAATGAACTTTTGTAAGTCAAGAGCTATCTGTATAGTGCTCTCCGTCAATGGGACGGAAGTGTCTATTTGCGTAAAATATTCTGATTCCATTCCTCAAGCAGAAATAGGTGAGATTTAAGGGGACAGTCTCTGATGTCTCTCTGGATTGTAAGAATGCAATGCTGCAGCTGCCCACCTGCTTTTTTTTGTTGTTGTTGTTGAGGAGGGCTAGAAAAATTAAATAGCAAAATGTCTGCACTTAAATTCTGTATTCATTTATCATGATTAGTTCTCAGGGCTTTGTCTGAATCCAATCATTATGGCTTCCCATTGATATCACATGTTCCCTGACTGGCTACCCAGAGAGAGAATCATTAGTATTTAAATCGATTAAACTGTAAATCCTATCTTGAGCTGAGACAGGCACAGTGATTCCTGAATAGGAATCTGGAAAACCAGGATTTTTTTTTAAACGTTATATACATTTGTACATTCCAATTGACGAAAATTCTTTATGGCAATTCTGAAATGTCCCTCGCTCCATCTTCTCCATTCAGGAGAATGGGGTGGAGGATAGAGGATGGCAAAAAATGGTCTTAGAAATGCTTTAGCAGATTCTGTAGACTAGATGATCTCTAAGAGCCCTTCTAACTCTAAGATTTTATGAAAATAGGAGGAATTAATCAGATATACCACCCCTGAAGTTCCCAGTAAGCCCAGAAACTTGTAAGCTTTTAACTCTTATCTCCTCGTAAATCATCTCCTACAACTTCCCTAATCTTGGTGTCTTCCACCTGTTTTGGACTACAATTCTCATCAGCTGCCACTTAATACGGCCAATGGTCAAGGAGGATGAAAGTTGTAGTTCCAAATATCTGGAGGGTCAGGTTGAAAATGGCTGGTTCGGGTGCAGAGTGCACGATTTTGGCATAACATCATTCAAAAAACAATCTAGCTTAGCATAAAACCCAAAAATTTTTAATTTGATTTTTAATTTGAAAAGGGTCATTGATCAGGTATCAGGAAAACCCCATGAAGAAGTATTCTGGAACATATGTAACCCTAACTAGAAAGCAGGTATCAGTATGTTAGAATATCTGGCAGTTATTGGGTTAAATGCTAGGTATGTTGATGGGTCAGTGGGAGGAGTCTCAAAGGTTCATTGGGAGACTTCCTGGACATACGTTTACTATTCTGACTCTGATATAAAACGCCTTCTTTAAATCAAGTCAGATAGATAATTCAAAAGAAACGATCTCATAACAAACAAAAAATATATTTTATTAGAAAGGTTACTTGCATTCATGTTGTGATTGTTACTCCTAGAAAATACATCCTTTGTCCATTTCTTTAGACCATTTCTTTAGGTAAAAGTATGATGCTCTCTTCCATACCATCTTTATAACGGCTCAAGCTCATTGTGTGACCTTCGATGGCCCATGCTTCTTTCAGTCAAAGAGATTCCACCCTGGCTTGTGTCCAGGAAGTCTCCCAATGACCCTTTGAGACTCCTCCCACTGACCCATCAACATACCTAGCATTTAACCCAATAACTGCCAGATATTCTAACATACTGATACCTGCTCTCTAGTTAGGGTTACATACGTTCCAGAATAAGAAGTATTAATACCAGTAAAAGAGAAATTTTGTAGCTCAGGACTGAACTATGGAGTTTTTGGTGCTCTCTGAACTTGGATTTTTTTGTGGCAGACATTGCATTTCCCCGCATGGGTAGTGCTAGGAAAGTGTTATCACTGAAGATGTTACCTAGTTTGGGTAATGAAATGTCTAGAAAGAAAAAAAACAACCAAGCTCAGAGGGCACCAAGGACTCCACAGAGTAGTAGGAAAAATGTCTCCAGAAGTCAGTTCTCCTTTCAACCATCCCAAGCCCATACTTGAGCTGAACATTCTCAATTGGGAATGTTCAGTTCGCTCTTAAAAAAAAAAGAACTCCCAAATTCTACATTTTGAAGGGGAGATGGCTGCTCCCACCCAATCTGCATCTGGCCATCGTTCACCTGTTCATGACAGGTTTAGTAGGTGTTTTTGCATTGCATCAAAAACCCACGAAATCTGTTTGATAAGGTGCAGCTCTGAGACAGGAGACATCAGCACGGGCATGAGAAGACATTTTTGCCAAAGGCCTTTATATTCGTTTTCAGACTTCATATGTCCCAACTGACATTTAATTCATGTAAAGATAAAAATGCTGGCTATCAAAACCCCAGCAGATGAATGGACCACCTACCCTATGACCATCAGATGCTTGCAAGGAAAACAAAGAAAAATAAGCCTTTTTTTTGGCACAAAACAGTCATATTTTCTCTTTTAATTTTTTTTAAATAGATACCAACATTTTAAAAGGAAATTAAAACAAAAGAAAAATAAATCGACAGCAACGACATAGATTTGCAAATCAGAATTTGGATCAAAGCATTCACTACAATCAAAAAAACCCTTTCGTTTCCCCTTCCTTTCCCATCTTCCCTTGCGGGCTTCCCATTGCACAAAATTGATTCAGTCTGCAAATACATTGATGCTGTATAAGCCAAGCAAAAACAAAAATCCACCCAATAAATTCAGCCTGTGGCAGATGATGAGCAGAAAACAGACATGAGAATCACAGAGATTTAGTTGAGAGCGTCCATACCGGCAGAGGTCAATACTGAAGTCCAGGCAGGGTTAAAAGAACAAAGCAGCAGAATCTATTCTGCGGTATTAGGTTATAGACACAATTGGAACCAGCAAGAAGCTGCCAAGGGCCAACAGGGGCTGATTTGACCAGGTTTCTGAGCCAACATTTGCAGTCTGCAAAAATCTAAACCAAGTGGGAAGCTTTGTAAATTCATTTAAACCAGAGGGCAGTGGAACAACTCAAGAACAGACCTAAAATGTAGTCCTCGTTCAGCGACTTGCCATGTTTAGAGATTGCTCAAAGTTACAATGATGATGAAAGAATAATTTTACAACACTCCTCACATTTATGACCTTTGCATGTCTGTAAAACAAAAGAATGCTGAAATAAGATTATAACACCAGTTGCGGTTTTGCTACCAACTTCTTCACTTAACGACTGAGTTGCTGGTCCCAATTGTGGTCGCTAAATGAGGACTACCTGTATTTTAGTTATTCTATTTCTATTTCTATTTCTATTCTATTCTATTCTATTCTATTCTATTCTATTCTATTCTATTCTATTCTATTCTATTCTATTCTAGGCAAAAGCAGTTTCAGTTCATGGAGAAAGAACTATGAAACCACCAAACAGAACCTCCATGTTCCAAGGTAGTATACCTTAGAATGTCTGCTGTTGTTGTCCCTTCCCAAACATTTGGTAACTTCTGCTAGAAAGAGGGTAGTAAATTTATTGGATCTTTGCCCCATCCAGCAGGACTCTTACACATAAACTTGGAACCTAGATCTTTCTGATTTACACAATCATACCACAATCATACCCACACATATAAAGATAGGGAGAGATTGTTCATCTACTGAGACGGGTGTGCGCTTTTGAGTCCACAGTTAAGCTTTGCTGCATGTTAAACTAAGACTTGAAACACAAAGACCTTGAGAGCATGTAAAGATTGCCTTTCCCTCATTAATGAAATGGCCATTATTCTCCGTGTGCAACACTGATAAATGCAAATTTTAAAGAGATTCTTCATTTCTCTTAAGAGGTTAAAAGAAAAAAATGAAGGAGAGGAGAAGAGAAAGCTTTCCGCAGCTTAACATGTCTGTTCACAGTTCAATATAATTACTGTTCCACAGAGTAGGAATCAATAGCTGCTGTAGTTGAATTTACTACACACTGTGGGTCTCCAGAGCTGCAACAGATGGAGCTATTTCATATGCTCATCTCCCCACGGATGGTTGCTAGGCGGTCTCCATCTCACCTTCAGGTGAGAGGGGGTGGGGGTGGGGAGGCAGCGATGTTTCTGCAGATGTAACAAAGGTCGGGTAAAATAGAAGGCCATGCAGGTGGTCCTCAACTTACAACCACAAATGGGACCTGAATTTCCCATTGCTAAGCAAGATGGCTGTTAAGCGAGTCGTGTCTAATTTTACGATCTTTTCTTCCTTGGCTGCTAAGCGAATCACGTGGTCATTAATCAAATATGGCTTCCCCTTTGACTCCACTAGTAGGAAGCTAGTTGGGAAAGTCACACATGGCAATCACA